TGGAGTCAGCTGGAGAGCACTGCAGAAAAGAGGATGAAACGGAGATGTGCTGTTGAAGTCCTGTATTCCACTTAGAACCGAAGGGAATAATAATTTGGAAAAATTAGATAAACAGCTGTCTCATCAAGATGTCCCCCAAAGTTCAGTCACTCTTTCCGGCTGAATCCTCTTTACAAGGTGGAAACTTTGGTCTTTTTCTGCTTTCAGAGTAGAGTAGAATTAATTACTGTGAATTAGTTATTGTATACCTTTAGAATATTTGTTACCCTATTACCAAGACACCTTTTATTTAGTTATAAGTCCCCAATATTCGATCTGAAGAAATCCTTATATTTGTAAAGTTTTCTCACAAATATTTGTGAGTGGTAAATCTATGCAAAAAGTCCTAAGATGATTTAAACCCTTTTTATCTGTAGGTCGTATCATTTAATGTAGAATTCTCACTTACATAAAGGAAATTTCCTTGAAAAATAAAGTCAAGAACTTTTAATCACTTTGAAGTAAAACCAGTAGATAAACATTTTAAGAAAACATATTTTCTGCTCTACTGTTTTAACGGTAAAAGATGAAAGACTTGATAAACGAATGTTTATTTGCAATTTGGTATCTCAATATAGCTAAAATATGTACACCTTATCTTCAAATCACCATTTGCTAACATCTGCGTTGGGCTACTTCTCGCCTTCATATTGCGTCTATCTGTCTTCCTTTTCAAGTCTCCCATGTTTCTCTGCAACGCTGAATCATTTGCTCTCTTTGATGTCATATCTACTACCCTGCTACTTGATGTTTATATACCGAATAGCTAAATGATAACGTCTGTGACTGCAGGCGACACTGAGTGACGCGGGTTCAAATCTCAGAAGCGACATTAGTTCCTTCATTTTGTGCGTCGGTGGCACAGCGGCTAGGACTCTCGCCGACCATGCACATGGTCCGGGGTTCTATCGCCGGCCGACGCACACTTGATACTAATGGACGGCCTGCTAAATTTGGGCTACAGATATCACATGCTGAAAATTTCATACTTGTACCAAAAATACTGTATGGAATCAAGCGATAATAAGTTTTATTGAATTGAATTTTTGATTTTCCCATCGATTGATTGGACCGAAGTGCTCGGTCTCAGGTTGACATGTCGGCTTCTTGTGCAGATGCTTCGACGATGTCTGGGGATTTGATTTGTATACAACTGGTGGATGTTGACTAGCAGTGGAATCCAGGATAACGCGCATTTCGTCCTATTTGGGACTCGTCAGCTGGATGTACCTGCATTTCTCAGTGAGTGATGATGTTCCCACCGAGGCTCTGGGAACTGGGTTCAAGTCGAGTCCCAAATAGGACGAAATGCGCATCCTGGATTCCACTGCTAGCCACCATCCACCAGTTGGATAATAAGTTTTTTTTAAATAATATACATAAAATGAGTGTCTCCGTATATACTACTGACTTATCAGTAGTACACGCCACACTTTGACCTTTATTTCCTCAGCTCTCATTTCCCATTTATTCGTATCCCTGTTTGTTAAACACTGAAATGCTATTGCTTCGACTTCTCAGCTCCCTCTAACTATTATATCGATTAGTTAAAATATGATTTTCATATACATATGTATGTATGTATATTGATATATATATAGCGATGACAAAGTTGTTGACTTTTAAATGCATACCTGGATGTATTGGTGGTTCATTGTTGAAATCTCTGCCAACCACACATGTGGTCCAGAGTTCATTTCTCAGCTGTCTGACTCCAGAAGCTTGCTTAGCTGGTAATAAGCCTGGTAAACGAAAAAAAAAATAAAGCTAAAAAATGAGTATATATTTATGTCTACACGTTTACCTCTTCCTATAAACACTTGTATGCGTGGATAGTTGTGAGGGAATTAACTTTCTCCATAAATATGTATTACATTAGATTAAGGCTTTTTTATTTATAACAACATTTATCATCATTTATTGTTCAAAATTATTTTCAATTGAATTACCCTCCAAAAGTAAACAACTGAAATAAACAAAGTTAAAGGGTAACGACTATCATTTCTTTTCCCTCTCCATTCCTTTCTTATCACAAAAACACTTTTGTATTTAAGATGTTTATCAAAAATGTTTATTTCTTTTATATTTTCAGTTTTTTTTAAAAGTTTGTTTTGAAATTTCAATAGTGTAAACTGTTAGAAATTTGTTTACCTCTTGAAGCTTTAAGTAAACTACTTGTTTACACACCCATAGACTTTCAAGTAGATCAGGTGAAATTTCAAAGTGATAAGACTCAAATAAAACTATTTAAAGTTGATTAGTATTCAACACTTCTCCATCTTAAGATTAGTAAAACACCCCTAACTATCAAAAAAAAAAAACAATTAGATAGAAAGTAAACAAAGTATCTAATTATTTTATGACATTGTAAAATGTTTTGCGTTTATACCTAACTGTGATATATTCATCTTTTTTTCCCTTCTTGATTCTACAGTGTTCTGAAGATTCTTTTTTTTAAGTGAATTTTGTCACGAAACAAAAAATAAACAAGTAGAGGCATTACAACCTGAGGAGCAGTGAATAGTTACTGACTCTCCTTCTTTGCGAATGTTCAATACTGCATAGATACGACTTCTACAGGTCTTATAAAGAGCATACTACTGTTTCGTAAAAAGTGAATATTATTGCAACACTCATTTTTCTCACAGAGGTGTATTTCCTCTTGAAGCACTATATACTGAACGAAACTTTGTAATGTGTAATATAAAGTTTTGAAATAGCTTCTTCTACAAAAAGATCCTAGAATATCTGACCTTTAAGGATGATTTATGTATAATGTCATACAAACTCTGGTATCTACAGTTGAAAAGCAAAGAGCTGACAGAAGAGGCGGTGAAGATAGGAATATGCGTGAAAGTAGAGGAGACAGAGGTGATGAAGATACCTATCTAACATTAACATACACTCATCAACATCAATATCAGGAATGAAAAGTAAGCTACCTCATTCATTTACCTGAACTTATGAGTGTCGTCTCTACTGCAAGCGGAACGGATGAAGATTTCAAAGGCAGAATGAGAAAAGCAAGACCGACCTTCGATAATCTGAAACCACGAGCTGACTTCAGTTATAAAACCACTGAAAATCAAGGAGTATTGGAAAGATGTTTCGTTCTAGTTTTGGAACTCATCAGCACTACCCACTCATGAAACTAGAACCTTTGGGTGAGGAAACTATGTGTTATCCATTAGGGATGGATACAATTTTACGCCTTATCCAACAGTTGTACGATAATGCTCCATGCCAAGCAATCCACATTGGGAAACTCACAGAACCCTCTGAGGTGAACATAGGAGTAAGACAAGCTGGCTGCCTACTATCTCCAATGATTTTCCTGATTGCGGTAGAATGAATAGTGAGACAGACAAGGAGCGATGAGGAAACAGGTATAAAATGGACTCACACAAAAAAATTGGAGCATCTGGACTTCGCCGATGACATATGTCTGATTTCCACAAACTGGAAGATATTCAAGTGAAAAGCAACTAGTTCATAGAAGAAGCATCAAAGATAGGACTTCCTTCAGGTGAACACAGAGAAAACAGAGGTGATGAAGATTCCTGGGAAGCACCAACAACAACAACGGACAACAATCAGAGTAAATGGGAGGAACCTGAAAGAAACAACCTCCTTTACCTACCTTGGAAGCATCGTTTCAACTACAGGCGGGCAGAACTGATGAGAATATCCCAGTGAGGATCAGGAAAGCAAGCCAAGCTTTCATTTCTCTCAAGTTTTTTTGAGGTCAGCAGAGCTAAGCATGAAAAATAAGATACGGATTTTCAACTCCAGTGTGAAGTCATTGCTACTTTATGGATCAGAGACTTGGCACGTCACGAAGAGCACCTTTAACAAACTACAGACCTTGATCAAAAGCAGTCTTAGGCCAATAGTGCCCAAGATCCGATGGCCAGATAAGATCAGCCACAGGGATATCTGGCAATGAACGAACCAACCCAGTAGGAACTAATTGTGCAAGAAATATGCGGGAAGAAATAGAGGCGAACTTACCATATTCTGAGAAAATAAACCATCAAGTGAAATCACACGCCAGGCTATCTCTCGAGTGGAACCCGAATGGGAGTTGGTTGTCAGTGCGAAGGTGACATGGGGGAGGTGATGCGAAGAGGAGATGAAAGCAAGTAGGCAAACCTGGAGCCAGGTGAGAACGTTGGCAGAGAACCGAACGCAAAGGAGACGTGCGGCTGAAGCCCTATTTTCCTCTAGGAACTAAAGGAAATAATATTAATAATAGAAGTTAGAATTTACGGGTGGTTGAAATCCTTCCAAAGTGGTCGAATAGTCAGTTAAGTTGACCTCGTTAAATGAGTTCGATTGTTGGTGGGATCATGCGTGCTCACTGATGCAGAGTCTCTAACCAGGACGAAAGGGTTGTTCAGTGCTCTGTGGTTTTCAATGATCCTTAACTGGTTTCGCTTTGTGGTGGAATCTACTTTGAAATTAGTTCGAATCCCTACAAAAGCTCATAATCTAAAGTAAATTTTTGTTTTATAAAAGTATTAAAACTCTGAAAATATCTGAAAGATTAAGAAGTAACTAGATTTCATGTTAAAACTAAAATTTATTCTTCCTTATTTTAACGATACAAATGATTACAAATTTTCAGTAACCACTATCAAATTCTTAAATTTATTAATTTGAAAATTATGCATTAATCTGAAATTTAAAAAAAAGCATACATCTTAGAAAAACTTAAACTAGCCGCAAAATTATGCGTTAAAATAATGAGGGAATTTTGAATTTTTTTCATCCATTGATAATTTGTTTAACTGAAATGGCGATGAGATAAATGTCAGCGTCGGCATAGCACAACAAAAACCCAGTGACTTCTTTCTGAGATTAGGAAGTGAAAAAGCAAGTCATACTTTTATTTCTTCAAAAAGTTTATTTTTATGCTCAATAAAAGTGTATTTATTACTCCTTTATTTCTTTCCATCTAGGTTCAATGATTTGGGTGATTATGTGTGTTGCACCAGTTGAAAATGATAAGCACGAAACACCACTTTATTTGATTTTATTTTATGATATTTCACCGCTTAGACAACCGCTGGATGATGAAGCACTCAGTGGAAGTAAGCATTCTATGAATACAATAATTCTTTGCGTTTTAATTTTTATTGTACTTACATCTAAATGATAATATCGTTAAACGTCTTAGAAACATTTATGAGGTAGTAAAGAGAGGGAAAGTCATGTATAACTTAACTTTACCAGTGGTTAGATGAGAAAAAAATCTAGTTTATGTTGTCATCACTGTTTCTTCGGGTTCCGAATGGAAAAACACCATATCTTCACTTAGAAAAAAGAAAAATATTGAGCAAAGAATATCCTTTTCGATAATGTCCTTTTCTGGCTCTACAATTATGTATATGTTTATATACATAGAATATTCTAGAATAGTCGCCATTAACAGTATTGGTGTTTTTAAATAATATCGATTTTCTAAGTAAGATCAGTGGAATTACAGTTCACTAAAGATGCAAAAGTTATAATCAGAATAAAAATGTAATAGCAAATAGAATATCAAATAAAATTTAAGGAAATTTTCACAGCAAATTGAGGGTCATTCGAACCTTAATGGCCAAGATAAGGACAATGTCTGAACCAACTTCTTTCGGACACATAAGTTAGGTTTCTTAATGTGGATCCCAACAGCCTAAGCAATATGTAGTAGACGAACGCCTAAGGTGAAGTTAAGATTTGTTGGTATGCAGCAAATGACTTTGAAAGCCTCGTTGATATCAGTCTTGTGTTCTGTATCGACAAGATGAGATAGAAGAGCGCAGTGTCCTTTACTCAGCCATGCAGAGTGGTGTTCGGAAATCCGACGAGAGACATGCCTAATTGTATGACTTATGTAACTGACTTCAAAGGAGCACTCGAATTGGTAGATACACATGAAAGAGGTGAAATTAGGCAGTTTATCTTTAACTCCTGTATTCGAAATAGGGGTGGTACTGAAGACACAGAACAATTCAGCAGCAATGAATGCTCTTTTCATCTCACTGAAGTTATCCCCGAAAAAATGAAGTTGTAAGAATAAGGCCTTTTTCCAAACTGTTGGTACTTTGGTGTACCTTGAGTTTTGATTCAAATTCTTATCGACAAATTTTTCTGGGAAATCGTTTTCATTCAGCAACTGTTTAGTGATATTAAACTCTTCATTAAGACATTCATCACAGCAGACTGCTCTTGCTGTGGGATTCAAGCACTTTACTAGATTGCATTTGTACTTGAGAGGCACGAAGCTAAAAAATAAGTATACTGACTGGCCACTGTTGGTTTTCTGCATACACCTCTTCTTATTTTACCATCCTCTTTTCTAGTCATAAAGACATCTGGGAATGAAATACCAGAGTCTCTTTCTTTCTCGATGGTAATATGATGGTTACGATATCTCTGTTTCATCCTGTTCTCTGTTAACCTTTTTAACTAGCTCTTTCATAGGCCATATGCTCTCATCTCCCGCTCACACGACCTCCGTTATGTCGCTTTCTAACACACGTCCAATTTGTCATTTTCCATTCGGCTTCCGCCAGAGGGCTTGCATAACATGTGATGTCACTCAGTGATATCGTCACCATGTGTCCTATCCCCGTCCATTCTCTTCGGTATATTTGGTGGGTGATGGGTTCTTAGTTGGTTCTCTACCAGAGTTCCTTGATCCTAATCGCTCCTGGTTACCTGACTTTCAGTGCAGAGTGAACATGACTAATTTCAGTTGTACTCTAAAAATGACAAACAAAGAGAATGTGAGAACCTGTTACCTTTCAGCATACGCAGCTGTTATTATAAATTATCTCTAAACAGATCAGTTTCCGACATAACTTTAGAATTAGGAAATGATTTATTTCAGATATAAAGAAACCTTAACATCGAATATTTATACCAAATACTTCTGCATAATAATGAGCTTTCCCATTAAGTCAACATTGTATACAAAGAAGGATTGAAAAAAATTTTCTGTCCTCATTGTTGATATTATCACTTCTCTTTGTATAATAAGAAGAACTGTCCGAACAAATCTAATTGATATGGTGGAAAAAAAAGTTGAAAATTTAGAAATTAAGTTATCTGGACACAAAACATAATGAAGAAGATTTGTAGCTCAGGTGGATGATTTTGATGTAGTTGTGTTCTCTGAGATGGAGGGTTTATTCGCGAAGCTTTCATTGCCCTACTATGCAAAATCCTCAGTGCATACTTCAATTCATTGAAGTGAGCTTTTAGATTTCTTCAAGAGTTTATAAGTCATCTCTCCTGGTGACCTTGGACGTGATTGATTGTTTTTGTGTGTTTTCACGCCCCATAGGCCACTTGTTTCCTTGACCTGAACTTTGACCGTATGTGTGTGAGATTTTCTTCTATAAGACTGGTCAGTTTCATCTATGTCAGTGTGCCTATTAATTGACGATTCACTGAAATACCAGGCTTCTAAAAATTTCTATCATTTTGATGCTTCCTCTGTTTAATATTTGAACGTTGTCCCAGTCGAATTGACGTCCGTGGTTGTCTGTCTGCAGCTATATGAGGGAGTGCGTGTCGTGTCTTTTGACGACTGCTTTATGATCATGGATACAAAGAGGAAGAGGACGTCCACTTTGACCACTGTAGTGTCTTTTGCAGTCTTTGCAATTTATTTTGCAGATGATGTTGGTTTTATCTTCTCTCGTTGTTGAGTCTTTTGCTTGACAAAGGACTGAGTTAAGTGATTTTGTTGGTTTGTGTGCGACATCAATTCCTAAAGGTGCGAAGAGTCTTGCAGTGATTTCTAAGATGTCTTTATGTATGGTAGGACGATTTTCTTTGTGTTTTCCTCGGGGGCCTTTGATCTGGTATGTTGGTTTTGGAGTATATGTCTTTTGATGAAGTTCCATGGATGTCCACTCTTTCGGAAGACGTTCATGAGATATTTTCCTTAGGTTAGGAGTGCTGCAATGAGTCCTGGCTCTCTTGAATAGTGTTTCTATACAACTCCTTTCGTGTGTTATTGGCTTGTTGCTGTTGTAATTGAGTATTTGATATGTGTGAGTTGATTTTCTATAAAATTGGGTTTCTAATTTTCCTATAGTTTTTCGTTTGACTAAGACGTTAAAAAGTAGGATTTTGTCCTCGGATCCCTCTTCTCTTGTGAATTTGATGTTGTTTATTAAGTTGGGAATTTTTCCAACTCGTTTCTTTTGATTATTACAAATGTGTCATCTACGTAACGTATCCAAATTTTGGGTTTGATCTTTGGTAGGACCATGTTTTCGATGGTCGGTGACACAGCGGTGGAGTGCTCGCCAACCATGCAGATGGTCTGGGATTCGATCCCCCGCCGACTCACTCCCTTACCTCGTTAAGCCAGTAATAAGACCGGTAAAGAGGGAAGTTTGGGCATGAGGCTAACAACCCCATCCCGTAGAAATAATCACCACTGCTACCGAAACTTGAAGCCCTATGTTCCACTGGGAACGTAATGGAATACAAAAAACAAAGAATTACTGATAATCAAGGAACACTGAACTTTTGTTTCACCCTGGTTTGGGACTCTTGAGTAGTGTACACCTATAATACATTAGAGACCGAACCCAAAACATTCAGGTTATAAGCTGAATGACGTTCATAGCTAAAGATGCCACAGTGTAACAACAGAAGACAAGGGCCGGCTACAGATCGTTTTATTACGGAAATCAACACGTATTTATATATATTTCACATACATTATTATAGCTTATTCAAGTAGACAAACGCAGTCTTCTTACTGGTTGTTTGCCGGGAGTTAAGCAGACAAACGCAGGCTTGTGATTGATTGTTTCGGGTAACCATCGAAAAGTGGAGCCATCTATCTGCGAATCATATTTACCCACGTTAAGTTTGCTGTGATTGGTTGTTGAATCAGCCTTGTTCATATTTTCTCACGGCCAATATTAGTGTCCTTGACATTGACGTAGAATAATGTCTACCAATTGGCTAGCAGCCTGCTCTCACCACAACAGTACCAAATAGCTAAATTACTTTAACTTGGTGTTATACTATGATTATGAGATCAAAAACAGAGATCAAAATAATGGTTCAGGGTCAGTCAGAATGCCTGAACACAACAAATGTTTGCGGAGCCAACACTAAATCGGTGTAAAATTAGGAGTTCAACAACCCATCTCACACATCTGAATAATCTCGTTAACTACCGGAATAAAGAAATAAGGTGTCAAGAAATTATGGAAATCAATTTTTAAAGTCGTACAATTATTTTCATAAGATTATGGGTAATAAATTGTGAACCTCATGTTATTTCCTTCGTCGGAAAATTTGAACAAAGCCGGAACAACAGAAAAACATGAGCTCAATTTTGTTATTCCGCGGATTCCTTTTAACTGCACAAAACGTTTTACATATTACTGTGTAATTGTATGCCGAATAAAACAAATGTTTCTAGCGTGTTACATTGTATATATTTTCGTATGACAAAGAAAACTGATAATTACAGGGTTAAGAAAGCCCTAAATGTCACCGAATTTGTACTGTCTTTGGTTGATTGGCCGGTTCTGCGGATAAACTGAAGCGTCCTATAGATTTTCACCATTATTTACAACTATATAGTCACTGCGATCATACTATCCAGTCCTACAAGAGACCAGTCATTACCTGCCTGGCAATAAATAAAACACACTTAAATCTTAAGAGGAATACAAATCTCTTCCCAATTACAGACACACGTTTCTAAAGATTACTAGCTAACGTGAAATCCAAGTGAAGTAGTACTTCTTACTATAAACCTCACCTTACATCTGTGATAAAGTTCTTCAGATTACAATGCATTTGCCAGTGAATACGACCTTGAATGTTGGCTGAATGTCTTACAACAGAAACCGCGTTTTTGGAAGAATTATTGTTATTATTCCCTTCGGTTCGAGTGAAATATACGGCTTCAGCAGTAAGTCTCCATTTCGTCCTGTTCTCTGCAGCCCTCATCAACTGGCGCAGTGGTTACTTCATAAGCTTTCATCTCCTCCCTATGCGATCTCCTCGATGTCACCCTTGGATATGTGCTCAACTCTTCGTTGCCCTTTCGGATTCTACTCGAGGATTTGGCAAGTGATGTCACACAACGGTCTCCGCAATGTGTGTCCTATCCATCTCTATTTTCTTCGGCATATTTGCTGAGCGGTGGACTCTTGATTGATTCATCCTAAGAGTTTCTTGTTGTTATTTCATTCCGGTTGGCCACTTGATCTTTATTATCGAGCCAGCTGAGAAACCCTTTCCATGATGCACCAAGTTTCTGACCCATATAGAAGTAGTGACTTAACACCGATGTTGAAGATCCGAATCTTGGTCTTTATGCCGAGTCAGTGCAGGGGAATTCTGAACTGATTTCAGAGTGATGAAGGTGTACCTTGCCTTTCCGATTCTGGTTTTGACATTCTCATCCATACTATCGCCTGTGTTTGAAACGATGCAGCCTAGATAAGTGAAGGGAATGACCTCGTTCAAATTCTTTCCATTGATGGTAACTGATGCTTGTTGTTGTTGTTGGCTGGTTAGTGCCATCACCTCCGTCCCCCCCCCATACTTGAATTCCCACCTTTGCTGCCTATTTATGCCAAATTGTTGGTTTTCACCTGTAGGTCTTTGAATTCGTGTGACATTAAAAATAATTCATCCGCGAAATCTATATCTTCTAGAGTCTCCTTGTCGGTCTAACGTATTCTTGTCTTCTCGCTAGCCACACTCTGCTGCATAGTCATCCAGACTTGTAGAAAATGGTTTCGCAGGCTTTTTTAACATAATTATTTTACAATTATTCAACTGAATTTTAGATTTTTCCGTCAACTGATTGACCGAAGTGCTCGGCCTCAGATTGACATGTAGGCTTCTTGTACAGATGCTTCGACGATATCAGGAAATGTAGTTAGAATTTAACTGGTGGATGTTGACTAGCAGTGGAATCCAGGATAACGCGCATTTCGTCCCATTTGGGACTCGTCATCTGGATTTGCCTGCATTCCCCAGTGAGTGATAATTTTCAGACCGAGGCTCTAACCCAGTGCCCACAGTTTCATACACTAAATCGTTATCCACTAGACCATAAGATGCCGGCATGTCAACCTGAGACCGAGCACTAAGGTCTAATCAATCGACAGGAAAATCTAAAATTCAATTAAATAATTAATATGACCAATTGCACAAGAGGTGGCTCTTGTGGCCTAAGTGGTCTAGTGGATGACGCTTTGGCGTTCGAAACTATGGGCAGTGGGTTCGAGCCTCGGTCTGAAAATTATTACTCACTGGGGAATGCAGGTAAATCCAGATGACGAGTCCCAAATAGGACGAAATGCGCGTTATCCTGGATTCCACTGCTAGTCAACATCCACCAGTTAAATTATTTTACAATTAATCTAAATTCATTCATCTTTTAATTTTAATATTTCACTAACTGTAATCCATTTTTTATCTGCAAAAATACAAGTTTGAAATAAGTCTAATTGGATTTTATTACTATTACTCATAGGTTTTAGTAAATTTGCAAAGCTGGCACGTTCAGTAGCACGCAACAGAACAGTTCTGTCACAAGTTGAACTAGATGATTCCCTGGTTGCTGTAAGTTCAGTAAATTATTATTTTTATATTATTATTCCCTTGAGTCCAGAGCGGAACATGAGGCTTCAACAGCACATCCCCCCACTTTGTTCTATTCTCTACTGTCCTCTTCAGTTAGCCCCACAATTGCCCATAATCTCTCATCTCCTCCCACACGATCTACTCCATATCACAGATAATAGACAGAAATAAGTGGTGATGATAAAGTATTATGCTTTGGGATACAAAATGAAAAGGTTGTCGTAGTTTGTTGTAGGTGCTGTTGTTGTTGTTGTTGTTGAAAGAATAGTTAAGTAAAAGACAGAGCATATTAGTGAACAAAAATGGGAGAAACTTTACAATGAATAAAAATTAAACGATCTACTTCCTGTTTAACAATTCAACTTCGTTTTTTCAAATATCAGAAAATCGAAACACTGAAATTCATTTCTTTTAATTTCATTTAAATTTTTATCAGTTGAAAAATATGTTTCACGTTATTGTTTGTTAAGAGTGAGTGAAAGTATTAGGGTTGTTTATAAATTTCTACTTTCTCTAGCCTAAAAAAATATCTGAAGAGTCCTATAGTGATTTTGTATTTAATTCAATTTTGATTTTCCCATTGATCGGTTTGACTGAAATGTTCGGCCAATGTTGACATGTCGGCTCCAAGTACGGACTCACAAAAATGTCTTCAGATGAACCCTAAGCAAGTTTTGGTGGATGACGACTAGCAGTAGAATCCAGGAGCATATTTCGTCCTAATGGGGCGCGTTTTGAGTAACAAACGATAGGTACTACGTCTCAGTTTTAGTGGGAACACCATCACTCAGTGGAGAATCCAGGTACGCCCGTCTGACGAGTCTCAAATAATACGAAACATGGAGCATCCTGGATTCCACTGTAAGTCATTACTAATCAAATTACGTCAAGATATGCATAGATGGGAAGATATGATGCGAAACACATTCTTTGCAGGAAGAGAGGATGATATTATGAGATATGCGGTTTAAATATTCCACCATAGATTTATGAGTGAAATAACAGCCCGATATATATGCATAAATATATTTCCTATTGGTAGCCTGAAAATAAATAGCTGATACAAAAAAAATCAAGAAAAAGTTGATAAATATCAGAACTTATATACAGAAAATGATATAACATAGTGTCCCCGAGGAAAACGATAAAAAACGTGACAAATACAATTTATTAGATGCCAGCGTGTAGTACATAAACAACTAAAATCAATGTGAAATTGACAAAAATGACGACGACAAATAAATCAAAATATGAGTCAAACGCAAAAAACAATGAGACGATAAACAAAACAACAGCTGATATCATAAAATATCAAGCCAGACCAAAACAATAGAGAAAAAAAAGCAGCTTCCAACCCATAAATGAACAAAATAAGAAAGGAGAGGAGTGGGAAGAAGTGTGCCTGAGTAGCGTTGTGAGATGTGTAGGTAGGTGATTGTGTTTGGTTGTCGAAGAAGTGTGTGAATTAGTTGGTGAGTATTTGGCGGTTGATTCTGTGTTGTTGTAGGTGGCGTGAAGTTGGCGTCCCGCGTGGTCTAGCGGTTAGGATTCCTGGCTCTCACCCAGGCGGCCCGGGTTCGACTCCCGGCGCGGGAGCGCTTTTGATCAAACTCACACCACACTCAATTCTGGCGTCAGACAAAATACACAAAGCACACCACAAAAGCATCATTCCACATTCACATACAATGCCAACACTCTGTCTTGTTGATGACCAAGTGATGCACAATCCTGTCTGTCACTATTCCACCCGAAGACTATCCTGACGTTAATCACTGATCTCCGAAATACACGTGTATTTGTGAACTGTCGGTAGCTCGATGAGTGCGTGGAATGCATGCGTGCCTCGATTGTCTGTCGTGGAGTTCGCCTTGATTGTGGTTGTTGATTGGCGGGAGGGGAGGTGAGGGTTGGAGGGAGACGTGGTTGCCGACATGCTCATCGATAGGTAGTAGACTGAGTTGAGTGTGTTGTCGGAGACGATTGTCTTGGTGATTTGTGCATCTCGTAGTGTTTGGTATGGCGCTTGAGAGGATGTTGTGTATTTGTGAGTGTATTTTTGTGTTTGTGTCAGTGAATTTGAAGTGTTTGTTGATCTGCGTCCTTCTGCATAATAATAAGGATGTGCTTGTGATGAGGAGTTGATGTGAGAGGTGGTGCTGTCGGCCGCCGGAATAGCTCAGCAGGGAGAGCGTTAGACTGAAGATCTAAATGTCCCCGGTTCGATCCCGGGTTCCGGCAAGTGTGTACACCTTTTTCACAACACTTCCTACCAATATGTAAGATAACCACTTCTGGCTATCGCTCGCTGCTCTCACTCTCCACCCACGGCCCACACGCTACTCACGCCATACACACGCTACACACGTCCTCCTCGGTATCCCATAGTGTCACTAGTATCATAACGCTCTGTAATCACTTCCTCCCTCCTCATCACCCTCTCATGTATGCTCATGTGAACCAACTGACTTGAATTGACCAGCTGACTGTCTCTTCCTCATCATCCACAAGACAAGTCAATCTAACCTGGCGCCACTCTCATTGGCTGTTTCATTTTCCAGTTTAATTATTTTTGAATTTAGCCTCTGTCCGTCTGCCTGTCTATCTGATGTCTGTGCTGCATTCGTGCGTGCGTGCGTGCGTGCATGCATGCATGCATGCATGTGTGTGTGTGTGTACATTGAATTGACTGTGGTTTCTTCTTCTATGTCTCCAGTTGAGTGACTGACTGGTTGGTCGTGAAGTGTTTGAGGTTGTGACACCGGGATACACGTGTCAGTTGAATTGCTAGTGGATTGGACTGTGTCCACGTGTGTTTATTCAGCACTAATTTTTGTGGGTAATCTCGTATCGACTATGTGGTGAGTGGATGGAGTTTGTTTGTGTGAATTGAAAAGTGAAGGGGGCACCCGGGTTTGAACCGGGGACCTCTCGATCTGCAGTCGAATGCTCTACCACTGAGCTATACCCCCGACTCTCCCACCTCCTCAAGCATTCACTGTCACACACTCGCATAACACAAACACAAACCAACAATCATTCAACAGTGAATTATTCAACCACAAATTCTCACGAAAACCACTCACATCACAGTGTGTATGAAACACAGACTACACATTCCGAACACAACATAGACAGACAGACAGACAGACAGACAGACGGACAGACACACACACACAACCACGAACACAACAGATATGCACATGGACGCAGTGTCGAAGGCCAATGTTGACTTCGACGCCCATGTCGACAATGACGATGAAGATGACAATCAATGATGGTGTCACGGTGTGGAGTGAAAGAATCATTAGAGAATCATAAGAGGCTGACACGTTTGATGAGGACGAAGAAGAGTGTGTGTGTGTGTGTGTGTTTGTCTGTTTGTTTGTTGATTGGTTTGTCCACCAGTTTGTTTGTTATTTTGTTGGTGCGCGAACATGAGAAGGAAGAGGACATAAGAAAGGAGAGGAGTGGGAAGAAGTGTGCCTGAGTAGCGTTGTGAGATGTGTAGGTAGGTGATTGTGTTTGGTTGTCGAAGAAGTGTGTGAATTAGTTGGTGAGTATTTGGCGGTTGATTCTGTGTTGTTGTAGGTGGCGTGAAGTTGGCGTCCCGCGTGGTCTAGCGGTTAGGATTCCTGGCTCTCACCCAGGCGGCCCGGGTTCGACTCCCGGCGCGGGAGCGCTTTTGATCAAACTCACACCACACTCAATTCTGGCGTCAGACAAAATACACAAAGCACACCACAAAAGCATCATTCCACATTCACATACAATGCCAACACGCTGTCTTGTTGATGACCAAGTGATGCACAATCCTGTCTGTCACTATTCCACCCGAAGACTATCCTGACGTTAATCACTGATCTCCGAAATACACGTGTATTTGTGAACTGTCGGTAGCTCGATGAGTGCGTGGAATGCATGCGTGCCTCGATTGTCTGTCGTGGAGTTCGCCTTGATTGTGGTTGTTGATTGGCGGGAGGGGAGGTGAGGGTTGGAGGGAGACGTGGTTGCCGACATGCTCATCGATAGGTAGTAGACTGAGTTGAGTGTGTTGTCGGAGACGATTGTCTTGGTGATTTGTGCATCTCGTAGTGTTTGGTATGGCGCTTGAGAGGATGTTGTGTATTTGTGAGTGTATTTTTGTGTTTGTGTCAGTGAATTTGAAGTGTTTGTTGATCTGCGTCCTTCTGCATAATAATAAGGATGTGCTTGTGATGAGGAGTTGATGTGAGAGGTGGTGCTGTCGGCCGCCGGAATAGCTCAGCAGGGAGAGCGTTAGACTGAAGATCTAAATGTCCCCGGTTCGATCCCGGGTTCCGGCAAGTGTGTACACCTTTTTCACAACACTTCCTACCAATATGTAAGATAACCACTTCTGGCTATCGCTCGCTGCTCTCACTCTCCACCCACGGCCCACACGCTACTCACGCCATACACACGCTACACACGTCCTCCTCGGTATCCCATAGTGTCACTAGTATCATAACGCTCTGTAATCACTTCCTCCCTCCTCATCACCCTCTCATGTATGCTCATGTGAACCAACTGACTTGAATTGACCAGCTGACTGTCTCTTCCTCATCATCCACAAGACAAGTCAATCTAACCTGGCGCCACTCTCATTGGCTGTTTCATTTTCCAGTTTAATTATTTTTGAATTTAGCCTCTGTCCGTCTGCCTGTCTATCTGATGTCTGTGCTGCATTCGTGCGTGCGTGCGTGCGTGCATGCATGCATGCATGCATGTGTGTGTGTGTGTACATTGAATTGACTGTGGTTTCTTCTTCTATGTCTCCAGTTGAGTGACTGACTGGTTGGTCGTGAAGTGTTTGAGGTTGTGACACCGGGATACACGTGTCAGTTGAATTGCTAGTGGATTGGACTGTGTCCACGTGTGTTTATTCAGCACTAATTTTTGTGGGTAATCTCGTATCGACTATGTGGTGAGTGGATGGAGTTTGTTTGTGTGAATTGAAA